GGCCAGTTTACTGTCCTTCGGACTTTAGTGGGGCCAGACTGTGGCCAGTGGGAGTCGAAAAGGTCTTTGATGTCAGTGGAAGGAAAAGCGCCTAATCGTTGGTGTCATTAGAAGAAACTGGGCCCCATCGTTGGTGTTATTGGGACGAATTGCACTCCTTCATTGGTGTCGGTTGGGGTGGGAATTATACTCCATTGTTGGTATCAGTGGAAAGAATAGTGCTCCAAGGGCCAGACAAGCAAAGGGCCGCAACTGGCCCCCCGGGGTGCAGTTTGGAGACCACTGGCCTAGTTGCTGCCTTCCTGCTATACAGGCTGTCACCCTAGGAAACCATCATAAATTTGGCTTGTATGCTGGCGATATATTTATATATATATTTAACTAATCCTAAAGTAGTGTTTCCTTCCATTTGAAAGGAACTGGAAACTTAGTAACTTAACCGTCAACAACTCTAAGCCTACTGCACTCGGTAATTCTCTTTCCTTGGTGGAGCGCCAGCATTTTCCAGCTACCCTTCCTTTCCAATGGGCTCCTTCAGAAATTAAATACTTTTAGGGTTCACATTCCTGCCACCTTGTGCACCTGAATACATTAAAGCGGATCTTCACTGCATCTGAGCACCACAAACCGAAAACACGAAAACACGATTCAGTTCATTTTTAATATTCAAAGCAAACTACCCCATGAGAAATCACTTTAACCCCTTCCAGTCCGGACACTTTCACCCCCTTCCAGTCCGGACGCTTTCCCCCCCTTCCAGTCCGGACGCTTTCACCCCCTTCCAGTCCGGACACTTTCACCCCCTTTCAGTCCGGACACTTTCACCCCCTTCCAGTCCGGACACTTTCACCCCCTTCCAGTCCGGACGCTTTCCCCCCCCCCCCCTTCCAGTCCGGACGCTTTCCCCCCCCCCTTCCAGTCCGGATGCTTTCCCCCCCCCTTCCAGTCCGGACGCTTTCCCCCCCCCTTCCAGTCCGGACGCTTTCCCCCCCCCTTCCAGTCCGGACGCTTTCCCCCCCTTCCAGTCCGGACGCTTTCCCCCCCCTTCCAGTCCGGACGCTTTCCCCCCCCTTCCAGTCCGGACGCTTTCCCCCCCCTTCCAGTCCGGACGCTTTCCCCCCCCTTCCAGTCCGGACGCTTTCCCCCCCCTTCCAGTCCGGACGCTTTCCCCCCCCTTCCAGTCCGGACGCTTTCCCCCCCCTTCCAGTCCGGACGCTTTCCCCCCCCTTCCAGTCCGGACGCTTCCCCCCCCTTCCAGTCCGGACGCTTTCCCCCCCCTTCCAGTCCGGACGCTTTCCCCCCCCCTTCCAGTCCGGACGCTTTCCCCCCCCCCCTTCCAGTCCGGACGCTTTCCCCCCCCCCCCCCCCCTTCCAGTCCGGACGCTTTCCCCCCCCCCTTCCAGTCCGGACGCTTCCCCCCCCCCCCCCTTCCAGTCCGGACGCTTCCCCCCCCCCCCCCTTCCAGTCCGGACGCTTCCCCCCCCCCCTTCCAGTCCGGACGCTTCCCCCCCCCCCCCTTCCAGTCCGGACGCTTTCCCCCCCCTTCTAGTCCGGACGCTTTCCCCCCCCTTCCAGTCCGGACGCTTTCCCCCCCCTTCCAGTCCGGACGCTTTCCCCCCCCCCCTTCCAGTCCGGACGCTTTCCCCCCCCTTCCAGTCCGGACGCTTTCCCCCCCCTTCCAGTCCGGACGCTTTCCCCCCCCTTCCAGTCCGGACGCTTTCCCCCCCCTTCCAGTCCGGACGCTTTCCCCCCCCCCCTTCCAGTCCGGACGCTTTCCCCCCCCTTCCAGTCCGGACGCTTTCCCCCCCCTTCCAGTCCGGACGCTTTCCCCCCCCTTCCAGTCCGGACGCTTTCCCCCCCCTTCCAGTCCGGACGCTTCCCCCCCCTTCCAGTCCGGACGCTTTCCCCCCCCTTCCAGTCCGGACGCTTTCCCCCCCCCTTCCAGTCCGGACGCTTTCCCCCCCCTTCCAGTCCGGACGCTTTCCCCCCCCCCCCCCCTTCCAGTCCGGACGCTTCCCCCCTTCCAGTCCGGACGCTTCCCCCCCCCCCCCCCTTCCAGTCCGGACGCTTCCCCCCCCCCCCCCCCCCCCCTTCCAGTCCGGACGCTTCCCCCCCCCCCTTCCAGTCCGGACGCTTTCCCCCCCCCCTTCCAGTCCGGACGCTTTCCCCCCCCTTCTAGTCCGGACGCTTTCCCCCCCCTTCCAGTCCGGACGCTTTCCCCCCCCCCTTCCAGTCCGGACGCTTTCCCCCCCCTTCCAGTCCGGACGCTTTCCCCCCCCCTTCCAGTCCGGACGCTTTCCCCCCCCTTCCAGTCCGGACGCTTTCCCCCCCCTTCCAGTCCGGACGCTTTCCCCCCCCTTCCAGTCCGGACGCTTTCCCCCCCCTTCCAGTCCGGACGCTTTCCCCCCCCTTCCAGTCCGGACGCTTTTCCCCCCCCTTCCAGTCCGGACGCTTTTCCCCCCCCTTCCAGTCCGGACGCTTTTCCCCCCCCCTTCCAGTCCGGACGCTTTTCCCCCCCTTCCAGTCCGGACGCTTTTCCCCCCCCTTCCAGTCCGGACGCTTTTCCCCCCCCCTTCCAGTCCGGACGCTTTTCCCCCCCCTTCCAGTCCGGACGCTTTTCCCCCCCCTTCCAGTCCGGACGCTTTTCCCCCCCCTTCCAGTCCGGACGCTTTTCCCCCCCCTTCCAGTCCGGACGCTTTTCCCCCCCCTTCCAGTCCGGACGCTTTTCCCCCCCCCTTCCAGTCCGGACGCTTTTCCCCCCCCTTCCAGTCCGGACGCTTTTCCCCCCCCCTTCCAGTCCGGACGCTTTTCCCCCCCCTTCCAGTCCGGACGCTTTTCCCCCCCCCTTCCAGTCCGGACGCTTTCACCCGCCCCCCCCTCCCAGTCCGGACGCTTTCACCCGCCCCCCCCCCTCCCAGACCGGACGCTTTCACCCGCCCCCCCCCCTCCCAGACCGGACGCTTTCACCCCCCCCCCTCCCAGACCGGACGCTTTCACCCGCCCCCCCCCTCCCAGACCGGACGCTTTCACCCGCCCCCCCCTCCCAGACCGGACGCTTTCACCCGCCCCCCCCTCCCAGACCGGACGCTTTCACCCGCCCCCCCCTCCCAGACCGGACGCTTTCACCCGCCCCCCCCCCTCCCAGACCGGACGCTTTCACCCGCCCCCCCCCTCCCAGACCGGACGCTTTCACCCCCCCCCCCCTCCCAGACCGGACGCTTTCACCCGCCCCCCCCTCCCAGACCGGACGCTTTCACCCGCCCCCCCCCTCCCAGACCGGACGCTTTCACCCGCCCCCCCCCTCCCAGACCGGTCGCTTTCACCCTCCCTCCCAGCCTCCCAGACCGGACACTTTCACCCCCCTTCCACTCCAGGCCAATTTTCAGCTTTCAGCACTATCACACTTTAAATGACAATTGCGCGGTCATGCAACACTGTACCCATATGCATTTTTTTGAGACCGATAAAACTTTTATTTTTGGTGGTATTTATTCACTGCTGGGATATTTTTTTTTTTTTTTGCTATATAAATGAAAAAGTTCAAAAATTTAAAAAAGTGTTTTTTCTTGTAAAAGTTTGCAAATAAATAATCTTCATAAATCTTGGCCAAAATGTATTCAGTTATGTTTTTAGTAAAAAGAAAAATAATCCAAATTAGTTTATAACCAAACATTTATTATTTTTTCTAAAAAATTTTTTTTTTTACAATTTTTTTCTTTCTTTTTTATATATATATCTTTTTTTGTCCATACTGACACACTAGCAGTACAGTGTCACCATAGTGACACTGTACTACTTGTGGGGGGTGGTGTTTTTTTTTTTTTACACTGATTGCTTTCACACCCATAAAGGCTGTAAAAGCAATCATTTCTCCTTCTCTCTGGCTGCATTCTTGCAGCCATTGAGAACTACTGTGTGAGCTGTGATTGGTCACAGCTTGTCACATGGTACAAGGCTGTTGTGAATGGCCCTGTACCATGTGATCTCTGTGATCATTCACAGATTTCACACGTAGTAAGCAATGATGTCAGAAGTGACATCTTGCTTACTACTCTTCATGTGATCACTGATTGGCCAATCAGTGATCACATGATCGGGACCTCCCAGGGAGCGTGCACAAGCAGGGAGCGTGGAGGACGTTTATAAACGGCCAACCGCCCCTGCACTGCTCCCATCCAGCCGTTTATATACATGGGCCGGACGGGAAGTGGTTGAAAAAGACACTCCCTTAGTATTTCTGGCCGTGGCCATCTTGAGTAAGGGCAAATGATTCATGTAGCGCTTGTTTCCTGCAATCCATCTGCCCTTAGCTCAAGCATGAATGCAGTAGAGTGCGCTTAGCTGAGGAAACCCTCCTTTCTTCCCCTCCTGAAGACTCCTGGGGGTGTATGTCATCATTTTGCTTAGGCAAGAAACCAGGAAGTAATGAGGAAATGTAAAAAAATAAAAAGTTTAAAACAAGACTAATGTCAGTTGTAAATTTTAAAGAGAGAGGTCCATGAGGTGGCATGCACCTGGTTGGACCTAACCCCTAGTAATCCAGAATATTTTACACGGTAGTTGAATTCCTGGAGTTCAGCTTCATCAGCTCTCTTCTCTTTAAGTAAATTGCGTCTTGATCATTTTCGGGCGATCTGCTTTGCTTTGGAGATTAACCAACTAGGACAGGGGCGGACTGACAACTCATGGGGCCCCCGGGCAATAGGGGATCATGGGGCCCCTGTGTCCTTGCCCAAACTCAAAAAAGCCTATGAAAAAGGTACGAGGGGCATCTCATGGGGCCCCTTACTGACCCCGGGCCCTCGGGCAGTCCGCCCCTGATCTAGGATTTCACATTTCAGACATCTCTAAGTTATTAGTTATGGCGTGTTTATGACCAGTTCAGCTTTTTGTTTTGTTTTTTGTAACACTGTTCAATTATAAATGTGTTGGAAACAAAGTAACATTTTATTTCTTTTTTTTTTTTTTTTTTTTATTGTGATGTCATTTCCTGTGAACAGCGCGGGTCATCTCCACCAGTGAGAGCGGTTCCAGCTCAGATGAGATCGCGTCGCCAAATGTGCCGGTGCGGAAATCACAAGTGCGCTTCCTGGAGCTGCATAAGGTGGCTTCCTCCTCCAGCTTGAAAAGGTACCTTTTTTGCAGCATTTTTTGGCTTTGGTTGACTGGGGTGTAGGCTGGTCATTTTTGTTGTTTTTAAGCTAATAGGGTATTAACTAGTTGCCGACCGCAGAGAGCCGAATGACGGCTGCACTGCGGCCGGACAGTTCTGGGTGGGCGTCATATGACGTCCTCCCAGAACGCGCTCTCCTGCGCGCCCCCAAGGGCGTGCACCCGGCGATCTCTGTGATCGCTGTGTCCTACGGACACAGCTGATCACGTGATGTGGTAAAAGGCCAATCACAGCAGCCTTTTACCACGTGATCAGCGGTGTCCAACGACACGCTGATCAGAGGGAAATGCAAGTGCCGGTTCTCAGCTGCACTTTCCTCACGCTGTCAGATCGTGAGGAAAGTACTGCCGAGAACCGGCAGTTGTCAGAGCGGGGATCGGCACCGGTCATCAGGGCACTGATGATCAGTGCCCTGATGATCGGTGCCCAGCAGTGCCACCCGCAAGCTCCGCCCACCTGTGCCCAGCAGTGTCCAGCAGTGCACCCACCTGTGCCACCCACCTGTGCCCATCAGTGCAGCCCTGCAGTGCTGCCAGTCAGTGCCCAGCGGTTGTGCCAGTCAGTGCCACCTATCAGTGCTGTCTCAGTACCCATCATCAGTGCCGCCTATCCGTGACACCTCATTAGTGCTGCCTATCAGTGCCCTTCAGTGCCGCCTATCAGTGCCCATCAGTGCTGCCTCATCAACGCACATCAGTGAAGGAGAAAAATTACCTGTTTAAAAAAGTTTTATAATAGAAACAAAGAAACTTTTTTTTTTTTTTTTTTTTGCACTTTTATTGTTTATAGCGCAAAAAGTAAAGTGCCCAGCAGCATTTAAATGCCACCAAAAGAAAGCTCTGTTTGTGAGGAAAAAAATGATAAAAATGTCATATGGGTACAATGTTGCACGACCGCGCAATTGTCAATCAAAGTGCAACAGCGCTGAAAGCTGAAAATTGGCCTGGTAAAGAAGGGGGTATAAGTGCCCGGTAGGGAAGTGGTTAAAAACCCAAAATGTAATATATTGCAACTTGTCAGTCCTTAGATGTGGCGTTTTTTTTTTTTTTTTTTTATTTTTTATTTTTTAATATTTATTTTTTTTTTTTAGGCTTTTTTCCCTTTATTTTTTTTTCCCGGGTGATCCTGCCGGTAACACACTTCCTGTCCTAGGGTGACAACACTCATTGATATGTAACCCCTTAGCGCCGGCACCTCCCTGCCCTTTAAGGGTTTCAGAAGATGGGAGGCGGTGGTTTAGGGTCATGTGACACGCCGTCACGGCGGTCACATTGTCAGGAAAGGTCCCGATCGAAAGAGGAGATCGGGACCTTTCTGTGAGTACCGGACATGTGTGCTGGGAGCGTGCAGGGCACGCGCTCTCAGCACATTTGTGTTTTTTTTTTTTAATAGAACCAGGCCCAGACGCCGGGAGACCGCACATTTGCGTTCGGCCGGCGCCAAGAGGTTAATTACCTGTATTGATTACACGGCTCAAAAAAATGAAAGGAAGACTTTTTAATCTGAGTCTAGCATCAAGTCTCTGAAACTCCTGGGATATGGATCTGGTCAGGTAAGTAGCAGAGGGGGTTGTTCATCAGTTTCAGCTGCTTTGGTGTTCATGAAATTAACAGGGGCACTAGATGGGCAACAATGAGACAACCCCCAAAACAGGAATGTCTTTACAGATGGAGGCCACTGACATTTTCTGACTGTTTTTCATTAGTTTTGCATTTGGCTAGGGTCGGTGTCACTACTGGTAGCATGAGGCCATACCTGGACCCTACAGAGGTTGCACAGGCAGTCCAACGCCTCCAGGATGGCACATCAATACCTGCCATTGCCAGAAGGTTTGCTGTGTCTCCCAGCACAGTCTCAAGAGCATGGAGGAGATTCCAGGAGACAGGCAGTTACTGGCAGCGCCGTAGAAGGTCATTAACCCATCAGCAGGACCGGTATCTGCTCCTTTGTGCAAGGATGAACAGGAGAAGCCCTGCCAGAGCCCTACAAAATGACCTCCAGCAGGCCACTGGTGTGAATGAAACAATGGCTTTGAAATGACAGAGTTCAATTCTGTAAGGCCCGTGGGTGTATGCCGTCTGGTCCACGGGCTTTATTCACCTTTATTCTGTCTAAATATTTCTGAATCATATCAGTTGTGAGCCAATGTGGATCATCTGGAGCTGTGTCAGTACCACGCCCATTGTGGACAAGAGCTCTCCCCGTGCTCCTTTGTATACACAGAATATGTTCCTAGTGTTCCTTTAATTTTTTGAGCAGTGTACATACAGTATGAACAATTTATGCAGCACTGTACATTCACGTCAGTCCCTGCCCCCAAGGAGCTTACACTCTATCATATATACACACACCCATACATACTAGGACCACTTTAGAATGGAGCTAAATAACCTAATAGCATGTCTTTGGCGTGTGGGAGCAAATCGGTGCACCTAGAGCAGGGGTGCCAAACTCCATTTCATCGTGGGCCTAATCCGCAGAGGGCCAGTTGTATCTGGGGTGCGCTACGTACGGAGTGCAGAGTTCAGGAGTGAGCTTGATACAGAGTGCGGAGTTCAGGAGTGAGCTTGATACAGAGTGCGGAGTTCAGGAGTGAGCTTGGTACAGAGTGCGGAGTTCAGGAGTGAGCTTGGTACAGAGTGCAGAGTTCAGGAGTGAGCTTGGTACAGAGTGCGGAGTTCAGGAGTGAGCTTGGTACAGAGTGCAGAGTTCAGGAGTGAGCTTGGTACAGAGTGCGGAGTTCAGGAGTGAGCTTGGTACAGAGTGCGGAGTTCAGGAGTGAGCTTGGTACAGAGTGCGGAGTTCAGGAGTGAGCTTGGTACAGAGTGCGGAGTTCAGGAGTGAGCTTGGTACAGAGTGCGGAGTTCAGGAGTGAGCTTGGTACAGAGTGCGGAGTTCAGGAGTGAGCTTGGTACAGAGTGCGGAGTTCAGGAGTGAGCTTGGTACAGAGTGCGGAGTTCAGGAGTGAGCTTGGTACAGAGTGCGGAGTTCAGGAGTGAGCTTGGTACAGAGTGCGGAGTTCAGGAGTGAGCTTGGTACAGAGTGCGGAGTTCAGGAGTGAGCTTGGTACAGAGTGCGGAGTTCAGGAGTGAGCTTGGTACAGAGTGCGGAGTTCAGGAGTGAGCTTGGTACAGAGTGCGGAGTTCAGGAGTGAGCTTGGTACAGAGTGCGGAGTTCAGGAGTGAGCTTGGTACAGAGTGCGGAGTTCAGGAGTGAGCTTGGTACAGAGTGCGGAGTTCAGGAGTGAGCTTGGTACAGAGTGCGGAGTTCAGGAGTGAGCTTGTACAGAGTGCGGAGTTCAGGAGTGAGCTTGATACAGAGTGCGGAGTTCAGGAGTGAGCTTGGTACAGAGTGCGGAGTTCAGGAGTGAGCTTGGTACAGAGTGCGGAGTTCAGGAGTGAGCTTGGTACAGAGTGCGGAGTTCAGGAGTGAGCTTGGTACAGAGTGCGGAGTTCAGGAGTGAGCTTGGTACAGAGTGCGGAGTTCAGGAGTGAGCTTGGTACAGAGTGCGGAGTTCAGGAGTGAGCTTGGTACAGAGTGCGGAGTTCAGGAGTGAGCTTGGTACAGAGTGCGGAGTTCAGGAGTGAGCTTGGTACAGAGTGCGGAGTTCAGGAGTTCTTGGTACAGAGTGAGTTCAGGAGTGAGCTTACAGAGTGCGGAGTTCAGGAGTGCTTGGTACAGAGTGCGGAGTTCAGGAGTGAGCTTGATACAGAGTGCGGAGTTCAGGAGTGAGCTTGGTACAGAGTGCGGAGTTCAGGAGTGAGCTTGGTACAGAGTGCGGAGTTCAGGAGTGAGCTTGGTACAGAGTGCGGAGTTCAGGAGTGAGCTTGGTACAGAGTGCGGAGTTCAGGAGTGAGCTTGGTACAGAGTGCGGAGTTCAGAGTTGAGCTTGGTACAGAGTGCGGAGTTCAGGAGTGAGCTTGGTACAGAGTGCGGAGTTCAGGAGTGAGCTTGATACAGAGTGCGGAGTTCAGGAGTGAGCTTGGTACAGAGTGCGGAGTTCAGGAGTGAGCTTGTACAGAGTGCGGAGTTCAGGAGTGCGCTTCGTACAGAGCGCAGAGGTGCGCTTCGTGCAAAGTTCAGGGGTGCATTATGTGGGATTCATGGGTGCGCGCAGTGCACATAGTGCGGGATTTATTAATGCATGATGTTCAGATTGCAGGGTTTCAGGGTTGCACTATGAACAGAGTGCAGGGTTCAGATGTGCGCTACGTACAGAGTGCAGTTCCAGGGGTGCCCTATGCAGAGTTCGGGGTTGCATTATGTACAGAGTGAAGAAATCAGGGTGTGGCTGAGCGCAGAGTTCAGGAGTGTGTTGTGTGCTGAGCGCAGAGTTCAGATGTGTTCTACGTACAGAGTGAAGTTCCAGGGGTGCCCTATGCAGAGTTCGGGGTTGCACTATGTACATAGTGCAGGGTTCAGGAGTGTGTTATGTACATAGTGCAGGGTTCAGGAGTGTGTTATGTACATAGTGCAGGGTTCAGGAGTGTGTTATGTACATAGTGCAGGGTTCAGGAGTGTGTTATGTACATAGTGCAGGGTTCAGGAGTGTGTTATGTACATAGTGCAGGGTTCAGGAGTGTGTTATGTACATAGTGCAGGGTTCAGGAGTGTGTTATGTACATAGTGCGGGGTTCAGGAGTGTGTTATGTACATAGTGCGGGGTTCAGGAGTGTGTTATGTACATAGTGCAGGGTTCAGGAGTGTGTTATGTACATAGTGCAGGGTTCAGGAGTGTGTTATGTACATAGTGCAGGGTTCAGGAGTGTGTTATGTACATAGTGCAGGGTTCAGGAGTGTGTTATGTACATAGTGCAGGGTTCAGGAGTGTGTTATGTACATAGTGCAGGGTTCAGGAGTGTGTTATGTACATAGTGCAGGGTTCAGGAGTGTGTTATGTACATAGTGCGGGGTTCAGGAGTGTGTTATGTACATAGTGCGGGGTTCAGGAGTGTGTTATGTACATAGTGCAGGGTTCAGGAGTGCGTTATGTACATAGTGCAGGGTTCAGATGTGCGGTATGTACATAGTGCAGGGTTCAGATGTGCGGTACATACAGGGTTCAGTTCCAGGGGTGTCCTGTGCACAGAGTGCAGAGTTCCGGGTTGCGCTGTGTACAAAGTACAGAATTTAGGGGTGCACTATGCAGTGTGCAACCCCAACCACCCCACCCAAAGCTTCCTCGCATCTCTCTCTCTCCTTCCTGGCTCGTCTCCAGTACCTCCCTGTGTAGGCAGCTCTACCTTGCCTTGCCGGGAGATTGTTCTCCCCCTCTTTGTCCCTGCTGTGAGTGGGTCCAGGGATCTGTTGGTTCCAGAAGCCTCTGAGAGCAAAGCTGTCCCTTGTAAGCACAGAAGGCTTCTGTGTATTTAGGTGACACATGCAGTGGAGGGTGAAAGCCAGAGGTGGCGGAAGTGAGTTCTGCCACGTTTTGGCTGCAAAACTGGGTGCGAGGGCCCCATGACAAGGTCTGGCAGGCCGGATTCGGCCCGTGAACCTTGTGTTTGATATATGTCACCTAGAGGGTTGAAGCAGAGGGAGAACATGCAAGCTCTGTGCAGAGTCCTGGCTGGGGTCCAAACCGAGGAGCCTCAGGGCTTCACGGTGGTTTAGCACAACTACCAAACCACTGTGACCCCCTGTATCTGTGTAGGAGAAACGTGGTCACCCTTGGACATACTCTTGATCACCAGGACAGAAATAAAGGCTGAACCATCACCAAGGATTCGGCTAGAGGTAGACCACCTATCTCTCTGCTTCAGTTCTGGAAATGGCCATTTTTGTGTTGGTGGTATTGAAGTCATGTCAATGAAATTCAAGGCCTTGCCCGGCTCTTTCTGGATCCTCTATAGCCCTGTAAAGGTTTCCTGATGGTTGTGTCTGTCCTCTGCAGCCTCCCGTTAGACTCTCCATCCTCCCCGATGAGTGAAGTGCTGCACATGCCACAGTTCCAGATCCGAAGACTTCGGAAGCAGCTGATTGAGGGCAGAGACCTCCGGGATGAGTTGGAGCTCGAGCTGTCGGAGACCAGAAAACGACTGGCGGAGAAAGGTGATCCGGGACACGTGGGGTGTGATGGGTCCTGAGACCTTCTCTTTTAATATTTAGCATATCGTCCTCATATCGGGGTACAGTAGCTGCTTCCTAAATGGTCTCTGATCACTTGGGAGCGAAATTTACCAAACCTTTAACAAGGAGGAATTCGGGGAACGCTTTGATGGTCAGTGGGAAGAATGTCCCTTACATTGGTGATCAGTGGGAAGAATGTCCCTTACATTGGTGTCAGTGGGAAGAATGTCCCTTACATTGGTGGGGGTCAGTGGGAAGAATGTCCCTTACATTGGTGATCAGTGGGAAGAATGTCCCTTACATTGGTGATCAGTGGGAAGAATGTCCCTTACATTGGTGGTCAGTGGGAAAGAATGTCCCTTACATTGGGGGTCAGTGGGAAGAATGTCCCTTACATTGGAGGTCAGTGGGAAGAATGTCCCTTACATTGGGGGTCAGTGGGAAGAATGTCCCTTACATTGGGGGTCAGTGGGAAGTATGTCCCTTACATTGGGGGTCAGTGGGAAGAATGTCCTTACATGTGGGGTCAGTGGGAAGAATGTCCCTTACATTGGGGGTCAGTGGGAAGAATGTCCCTTACATTGGGGGTCAGTGGGAAGAATGTCCCTTACATTGGGGGTCAGTGGGAAGAATGTCCCTTACATTGGAGGTCAGTGGAAAGAATGTCCCTTACATTGGTGATCAGTGGGAAGAATGTCCCTTACATTGGTGATCAGTGGGAAGAATGTCCCTTACATTGGGGGTCAGTGGGAAGAATGTCCCTTACATTGGGGATCAGTGGGAAGAATGTTTCTTACATTGGTGATCAGTGGGAAGAATGTCCCTTACATTGGTGATCAGTGGGAAGAATGTCCCTTACATTGGGGGTCAGTGGGAAGAATGTCCCTTACATTGGTGATCAGTGGGAAGAATGTCCCTTACATTTGAGGTCAGTGGGAAGAATGTCCCTTACATTGGGGGTCAGTGGGAAGAATGTCCCTTACATTGGTGATCAGTGGGAAGAATGTCCCTTACATTGGTGATCAGTGGGAAGAATGTCCCTTACATTTGAGGTCAGTGGGAAGAATGTCCCTTACATTGGTGATCAGTGGGAAGAATGCCCTTACATTGGTGATCAGTGGGAAGAATGTCCCTTACATTGGGGGTCAGTGGGAAGAATGTCCCTTACATTGGGGGTCAGTGGGAAGAATGTCCCTTACATTGGGGGTCAGTGGGAAGAATGTCCCTTACATTGGGGGTCAGTGGGAAGAATGTCCCTTACATTGGGGGTCAGTGGGAAGAATGTCCCTTACATTGGGGGTCAGTGGGAAGAATGTCCCTTACGTTGGTGGTCAGTGGGAAGAATGTCCCTTACGTTGGTGGTCAGTGGGAAGAATGTCCCTTACGTTGGGGGTCAGTGGGAAGAGTGTCCCTTACATTGGTGGTCAGGGGGAAGAATGTCCCTTGCATTGGTGGTCAGGGGGAAGAATGTCCCTTACGTTGGTGGTCAGGGGGAAGAATGTCCCTTACGTTGGTGGTCAGGCACTTTCTTATACTTTGCAGCCATTTTTAAACATGGTGTCCCTTGTTGACAGATGCCCAGATCTTCCTGATGCAGCAGAAGATTGAGCGGCTGAAGGTGCTGAATGAGAAGCAGGCCGACCAGCAGGAGCCCAGAGAGCTGGAAGAGCTGAGAGAGAAGAATGAGAGGTAATGAGAACACCAGGACAGGGAATCGTTCGTGCTCCAGTATTCGGCCTGGGAGATACAAGAGTCCACCTAGATCAGGGCTTGGACAATGCTGGAGGACATGGTGTGCATTTCAGAATGGTCCCCTTACCAAAAATCTCAGCACAAGTAGATAAAGGGCCGGACGGGAGCACTGCCGATGCAGGTGGACGTTTCTAAACGTCCCCCCGCATCCGTTGCCTGTGCGCACTCCCAGATCGCTGTACGGGACCTCTGTACGAGGTCCTGATCATGTGATCACTGATTGGCCAATCAGAGATCACATGAGTAGTAAGCAAGATGTCACTTCTGACATAATTGCTTACTACGTGTGAAATCTGTGAATGATCACAGAGGTCACATGGTACAGGGCCATTCACAACAGCCTTGTACCATGTGACAAGCTGTGACCAATCACAGCTCACTCAGTACTTCTCAATGAGTGCAAGAATGCAGCCAGAGAGGAGAAATGATTGCTTTTACAGCCTTTATCGGTGTAAAAGCAATCGGTGTAAAAAAGGAAAAAAAAAAATCTTCATCACCCCCAAAGTAGTACAGTGTCGCTATGGTGACAGTATGTAAAAAAAAAAAAAAAAAATATATATATATATATATGAAAAAATTAAATAAAAATGTAAAAAAGGTTCTTTGAAAAATTTATAATTTTTGGTTATAAACTAATTTTGGTTGTTTTTTTAAATTTTTTTTTACTAAAAATGAATACATTTTGGCCAAAAGATTTACTTGCAAAATTTGCTAAATTTTATAAGAAACATTTTTTTTTTTTTTTTTTAAATGTTTGGACTTTTTAATTTTTATATAGCAAAAAAATAAAAATCCCAGCAGTGGAGTCAGAGATGATTGACACTAGCTTTAATTTTGACTAAGGAGGAAATGAAGAGCTTAGAAGGGAACTGAAACTGGAGCATGCTCAGTAGATGGTCTACGCAAGCTCAGGCTGCAATGGGGACATAGAGAAGGTGGGAGGGAAAGCTGTAAGAAAAGGAGGAAAAGAGGAGCTTAGAAGGGAACTGGAGCATGCTCAGTAGATGGTCTACGTAAGCTCAGGCTGCAATGGGGACATAGATAAGGTGGGAGGGAAAGCTGTAAGAAAAGGAGGAAACTAAGAGCTTAGGAGGGAACTGAAACTGGAGCATGCTCAGTAGATGGTCTACGCAAGCTCAGGCTGTAATGGGGACATAGAGAAGGTGGGAGGGAAAGCTGTAAGAAAAGGAGGAAACGAAGAGCTTAGGAGGGAACTGAAACTGGAGCATGCTCAGTAGATGGTCTACGCAAGCTCAGGCTGTAATGGGGACATAGAGAAGGTGGAGGGAAAGCTGTAAGAAAAGGAGGAAAAGAGGAGCTTAGAAGGGAACTGAAACTGGAGCATGCTCAGTAGATGGTCTACGCAAGCTCAGGCTGCAATGGGGACATAGAGAAGGTGGGAGGGAAAGCTGTAAGAAAAGGAGGAAAAGAGCTTAGAAGGGAACTGAAACTGGAGCATGCTCAGTAGATGACAACAGCTGGTCTACACAAGCTGAGGCTGCAATGGGGACAGCTGGGAGGGAAAGCTGAAGGCAGGGTCAACCAGGTATATTTAACTCTACACATAACAAATTTTTATCTTGCCTTTCTCAACTTCTTTACTCGAGCAGAAACCTTTAATAACTTTCAGGTTTTGAGGAACCTCTGTTTTAAAATCAATATGTAGGGGGTTATTGGGGGGGAAACCCCGTGCATTGGTGGTCGATGGGAAGAATGTCCCTAGAATGTTGGTGCCGTGCTGCTGTCTCTGCCAAGAATCGGTGTCCCTGGAACTATGCAGATAATATCACATGGGAAGTCGATCAACCAAAGCTCAAGGGACCCCCACCGACCTCTCAATGGAATTCTGGTTAGGAATGGCTGTTTTATCCTCTGAGGGAGCTTTTTACTCATGTTCCTGAGGAACGTATTTTCATATGTAGGATTTAGGTGGATCTCACCTGGTTGGAAATTCTTACTTATGAGTCTTGTGTGAATATAAAATATATTTTGGGACAAATCTGTAGTCCTTTTTGGGTTTTTTTTTAAATTTATTTTAATATTTTTTTTTTTAATTAGTCTTATGATTCGCCTCCGAGACGCTCTCAAGCAGTGTCAGGACATGAAGACGGACAGGAACCAGCTGGAGCGCAAGAATGATCAGCTTTCTGAAGAGAACGGAGATCTGTCCTACAAGGTATCGGACATCCGCCAGGGTTTTCCTCATGTCCATCTATAAGGAACATCTCCATCTTTGTGAATCACGCCACCCCCAGGCGGATGAGGGGGAGAAGGGGAGGGTGCTCCTAATAAAGAAATAAAAAATTTTTTTATGTATATTATATATATATATATATATTTTATATATATATATATATATATATATATATATATATATATATTTTATATATATATATATATATATATATATATATATATTTATATATATATATATATATATATATATATATTTATATATATATATATATATATATATTTATTTATATATATATATATTATATATATTATATATATATTTATTTATATATACATATTTATTTATATATACATATTTATTTATATATATATATATATATATATATATATATATATATATATAATTTTTTTTTTAATTATTATTATTTTTTTTTTTAAAGTTCATCCACTTGCGGACCGCCAACCCACAATGTACTATGGACGGGTGGGTTCAGGCAAAGCGACGTACTCCTACACAGCCGCCCCAAGCGACAACACCTGCTGTGATTGAACACAACCCAAGTCTGCCAGCAAGTTCACAGCCAGGACCTGCTGATCAGCGGTGTTCAATCACAGCCCAAAGCTCTGTGTTGACAGTCAACAAAGGGCTCTGTACAGAGGGAACAATCTCTCTGTTTCTTATCCCTGCAAAGAGATATGTTGGAAAAAGCAGCACATAATACACACATTACGCATTGATAGGCACACATTTTGCCCCCTTGATTGCCCTAGGTCAGGGGTAGGCAACCTGTGGCTCTCTAGCTGTTGTGGAACTACATTTCCCATGAGGCATTGCAAAACTGACAGTTACAGCTATGACTTGCAGAGGCATGATGGAACTTGTAGTCCTGCAACAGCTGGAGAGCCGCAGGTTGCCTTCCCCTGCCCTAGGTGT